TTTTTTTAAACCCCCCCCCCCCCCCCCCCCCTCTCCAAAAAAAATATTTCTGTTCTAATCACATTTACTTGTGACTGAAATTGAGTGTTTGTTGAGGCACAAAATCCTTGCAAAGCTACAGCGGCATCTACTTTGCTTTTTAACATATAGACCTATGTACATCTACTAAAATCATCAACTATTGATAGGAAATATTTGGATCCATCATAACTAGTTTCAGTAGAGGGACCCCAGAGGCTACAATGTATGAGATCAAAAACCTTCTTGGATTTGTGATGACTGACAGAGAAAGGTAATCTATGCATTTTAGCCATAGGACAGATAGAAGAAGGTTCCTTGGCTAGCTTAGGAATGTAATTCATATTCAACAAATCTAATCTAGAGTGAGATGGATGTTCCAGCCTATAGTGTCAAAGATCAAAATCCTTATTGTTGCTAAAGATGGCTGCTGACATAGAAGTTCTATTTGGAATAAGAGAAAGGGCTTCTGTTAAGGCTGAAGGAGAGACTTGAGATTGTAATAGATGATATAGTCCTCGCCTCACTTCACCCACTCCAGTCGTTTTCTAAGTCAAAAGGTCCTGCAAAAAATATTTTTCAGGGAAGAATATCACAGTATTTAGAAGTCTGTGTCAACTTTCTAGCTGATATCAAATTGAAAGTAAAAGATGGAAAACAGAGTACATTATTCAGAATTAACTTCTCAGTGATTTTTACGGTTCCTCTGTGTGGAACATTAACCAAATCACCTCTTGGAAGGGAGACTGAACAAGATACTTTGGCTTGAATGGTGCTATAAAATGAGGTGCTGCAGACCATGTGGTCTGTTGCTCCCTTGTCTATTATCCATGGTGTGTTAAGAATCCATAGGGTTGGTGCCATAGATAGATAAGTAAGACGAGATACCAAATAGTTTGGGAATTTGTGTGTCTGCAAGAGTTGTGTTAGCAAGGCATTTGCTGTTTTGTGACTGCAATAGAGCCAGAGTTGTGCATGTTGCTCCTGAGTGAATGTCACCTGATTGTCTTTGTCAGTATCTTCTTGTTCCTGCAAAGATAGGCCTTTCCCTTTCCATATAACCTGTTTCCAGGAGGGTATCCATGAATCTTATAGCATTTGTCCAAAGAATGTCCTGTCATGTGGTAGTGGTAGTGGCTGCAAGTTGATTTGTTAGGATTGGTCTTAGTACATCTTTCTAGTGAGTGTCCAGGCACTTTATAAAGAGTACAACAGTACTTCCTCTGTCCCATTCCACTCTGCCTTCTTGTGTTATAGGAGCTTCCTCTGGTTGCAAGCACAATAGAGTTAGGTATAGAAGCATCTATTGAGATTTGTCTCCTTTTCTTCTCTTGCTGAACTATGGAATATACTTCATTGAGAGTGGGAAAAGGCTTGATCTGCAAGATTTGAGCCTTGATTGCTTTATGTGAGTCATTCAGCCCCATCAAAAACTTCATTACCCAATCTCTTTGTTGGTTCTCAATGACAGATATGAAACTTCCACAAGTGCAATTGGGAATGGACTCATAGTTCATTAATTCACAAAGGAGTGTCTTATATTTTGATAAGTAAGTACTTACAGCGTCTTCATTCTGCATTAAGGTGGCAATGGACTGTTTTACTTCATAAATCCAGGGGGCATTCTGCTGTCCTAACAGATGTTCCAGGTACAGCCAGAGCTCACGAGCTGTGTCAGCATAGAGTATTTGAGACTTAATATCAATGGACATGGAGTTTTGCAGCCAAGCAATAACTATAACGTTGCAGCATAGCCAATGTTCCATTAGAAAGTGGTTGGAGTCTGCTGGCTCACATATGTTTCCATTGATGAAGCCGAGTTTGTTTTTAATCCGAAGTTCTCTTTTTATGGATCTTGCCCAAGCATAATAGTTGGTATTATCAAGCACATAAGAGACTAGTATTATGCCTGAATTGTCATTTCCCCCAATATAATACTGACTGCAACGATGAGAAGGATCATCAGAATTTGAAGTATGATGAGTATTTGGTGTTGGGTTGGTGCTTACATTTTCCTCGGTGCTTGCATTTGGATTCGTTGTATTCACAATAGTGCTTTGATTGTCAGCCATAGCTATGGCTCTGATACCATGTAAGGAAATTGAGAAATGAAATGCAACACCTCCAAAGAAGGAAGCAGCAGAAAACCAGATGAATGCTTAAGAAATTCTTTTATTTTACTGAGATTTGATTATTTACAATGGTTCAGCCTCACACGTATTTATACAATGAATAAGAAGAAGCTAGAATGCTGTGCCTATTGAGCTAGTTGGCTGAAGGAAAAACAGCATGGTAATAACAGAAAAAGAAAATGCTATACAAATAACAGAAAGAGAAAATGGTCTCAGCTTGACTCCTTTGTAGTGACGTTTCTACCCTTCATTATCATTCTTTATCTGTTGGCTTTCATCTTCCTGATCATCA